TGCGACAGCAGAACCTTCTTCAAGACCTTAGACACAGCAGGCAGGCAGGGTTGCTTCCACTCACTTGCTATAAAAACATATTGTTTGGAATTATGCAATCATTAGATCATATAATGATATGTTGTACTTGTAAGTATCGAGAAGAGGGTGTAAAGTATGTGTTCGACTCATAAAACCCGTCTATTTCGCTTTCAGAGCGTCACAATAAGCGATCTTATGATTTGTGATCGTTCACTCAGAGTGAGCGTTCACTCAGAGTGAGCGCTCACGAATCGTAAAATTGCTGATTGTGGCGCACTGAAAGCAATATTGACAGATTTTGTGTGTCAAACACATACTTCACGACCTCTTCTTGTAGCTTACAAGTTCTAATTGTCACTATACCATCTCATGATTTCATAATTCTGAAAAACATTTTTTATAGCAAGTGAGTGGAAGTAACCCTGCAGGCAGGACACTAATAGGCCTGAAGTCGATTGATCTTGGTGGAGTAAAATCGATAGGTTGAACCACTCTAATGTATATATGTATATAGGCAACGATATATTCCATTGTCCGGGGCCTCCCTTAGCTCAGTCGGTAAAGGCGCAGCTACAAAGCAAGACCATGCTGAAGGTGGCTGGGTTCGATTCCCGGTCCGGTCTAGGAATTTTTCGGGTTGGAAAATTTCTCGACTTCCCTGGGCATAGAAGTATGATTGGACTTGCCACACAATTATACCAATGCAAAAATGGAACAGGCATCGAAAGCTCTCAATTAATAACTGTGGAAGTGCATCTAGAACACTAAGTTGAGAGCACGCAATAAGCTAATATGCGATATGCAATAAGCTTGAAATGCGAAGAAGAAGAAGAAGATATTCCATTGTCCTGATTATGTAACTTTAATTACATGGGCTTCGGACGATTAGACTATTTCGACAACCACAATTAAAAAAAATCCACTGTATTTTCCCAACAGAACTCTTCGCTGAATGCATTTAACGGGAAGATTACCGCCCGAATAAAAATGCGTTTATATGCGGGTTTTCAACCAATCGCTTTGATTTTCTGCGCTTTGATTTTTTGTGACTATTTAGGTTAGGTTAGGTTTGGTTTCTCCATTGCAACTACTCACATGCAAAAAAATGAGACCGACTGGTTGGATACCCACCGAGAAAAAGTTGTGGGTAGAAATCAGTGGGTAACGTTCGTCGGGGATAGGGTCTGTTCATAAACTACGTAGACAGTTTTTTGGGATTCTTGACCCCCCCCCCTCCCCTGCGTAGACAATTGTCCGTACAAATTTTTTAAAATTTGTATGGGCTGTGGATAATTCTCAACCCCCCCCCCCCCCCCCAAACTGTCTACGTAGTTTATGAACAGCCCCATAGCTGTAGGATTTCGCAGCTGCTCATCGGGGAACATTAAGTTTATATGGGTACTTACCTTACCACCTCTGCCGTCCGAAGAAGTCGTCTCCACTTTACTCGAGCCTCGTAATCTGCGAAGGGTCCGCAGGTCGCCTCCTACTTGGTCGATCCACCTTGCCCACTGCGCGCCTCTTCTTCTTGTTCCTGTTGGCTCGCTACGTGAACCATTTTCAGTGGATCGTCGTGCGGCATTCTTACGACGTGCCCAGCCCACCGTAGTCGCCCAGTTTTTGCAGTGTGGACGATGGATGGTTCTCCCAGTAGCTGGGGCGATTCGTGGTTCATTTGCCTCCTCCACGTTCCGTCATCCATCTGCACTCCACCGTAGATGGTTCGCAACACCTTCCGTCCGAAAACACCAAGGGCACGCTGGTCCTCAACGAGCAAAGTCCAGGTCTCGTGACCGTAGAGGATCACCGGTCTAATCAGCGTCTTGTAGACAGTCAACTTCGTGCGACGGCGAATTTTATTCGACCGAAGCGTTCTCCGGCGTCCAAAGTAGGCACAATTCCCTGCCATAATGCGTCTTTGAATTTCTCTGCTGGTATCATTTTCGACGGTCACCAGTGAGCCCAAATACACGAACTCCTCTACCACCTCGTCACCGTCAATCTGAACTCGGGGTGGGAGGCTAACATTGTTTTCCCTAGAACCTCTTCCTTTCATGTATTTTGTCTTTGATGCGTTGATGGCAAGTCCAATCCGTCTAGCTTCAGCCTTCAGTCTGATGTACGTTTCCGCCATCGTCTCAAAGTTCCGTGCCATGATGTCAATGTCATCGGCGAAGCCAAGAAGCTGGATGGACTTTCTGAAGAACGTGCCACTTGTGTCTATCCCAGCTCTTCTTATCACACCTTCTAACGCGATGTTGAATAGCAGACACGAAAGTCCATCACCTTGCCGTAACCCCCTTCGAGATTCAAAGGGACTTGAGAGTGTCCCCGATACTCGAACAACGCACATCACTCGATCCATCGTCGCCTTGACCAATCGCGGCAGTTTATCCGGAAATCCGTACTCGTGCATATATCGATCGATTGTGTCGTATGCGGAAATCGATGAACAAATGATGTGTGGGCACGTTGTATTCGCGGCATTTCTGCAGAACCTGCCGAACCGTGAAAATTTGGTCCGTGGTAGCGCGGACACCCATGAATCCCGCCTGGTATTGCCCCACAAATTCTCTTGCAAATGGTGACAGGCGGCGGCATAGAATTTGAGAGAGTACCTTGTAGGCAGCGCTCAGTAGTGTGATCGCGCGGTAGTTGCAGCAATCCAACTTGTCGCCCTTTTTGTAGATTGGGCATACGACACCTTCCATCCACTCCTCCGGTAATATCTCCTCCTCCCAAATCATGGCAATTACCCAGTGCAGCGCTCTAGCCAGTGCTTCACCACCGTATTTGAATAGCTCACTTGGTAGTTGATCTACACCAGTTGCTTTGTTATTCTTCAGCCGACCGATCTCCTCCTCAACTTCTTGAAGATCGGGGCCGGCAGCCTGTCATCTTCTGCGCGTGCTCCAAGGTCTGTTGCCGTGCCACCTTCGTTTTCTGCTGCTTCACCATTGAGGTGCTCGTAATATAGTACTGCTTCCAATTCTCAATCACCTCACACTCGTTCGTGAGAAGTCCTTGCATATATCGGCTTGGGGGATGGTGAAGTTATTGAATTTCACCACTAGGTAAATTCAGTGTTCCGAAATCAATATAAAAGAAATCATCCATAATTAATAACAGGGACTTCAGAATAGTTTAACTATCTTATTTTAGACTCAATTGAAGTACTGTCTTGAGCAAACATGATCAGAAATAACTTTTCTATATGATCCATGAGTATAGATATTGTTGCGATAGGCAAAATGGTGAAAAAAATTTCGTATCGACCTTCTCGGATTTGTATGGGATTTTGAGAAATTGTTTGCAAGGAATGATTCATATTTTTGCTTTAATTCGGCCATTTTGGATCAAGAAATATTTTCAAAATCACGCCTTTAAAATAAAAAAATGATTACATGGAAAAGGCATTTCTGATCGAAATGACGACTGAGGCTGAGTTGTAGAGAAAAATTATATCTCTCTGGGAAAAATGAACAGAAATAGTTTATTTTTAATTAATTTATGTAAAAAATATTTTAAAATCCCATAGTGTGTTTGAACGATTTTTCTTTCTTTTTTTTTAAAGATAAATCCAAATTTTGGAATTTTTTTTCCTTGAATTGTTTTTCCGTCGATTCCGAGGATGATCTTGAAGCAATGAAAATTGGTCTAGTCTTCTATAGGATTCCTAATCTTCTATTCGTTGTTTTCTAGTTTGGAGTGGCTTTGATTAGGGTTCTGATAAATGGCTTAATATTAGTGCCGCTGCTCGATTATGTAGCCAAGGAATCCAAACTCTTCGGAGGGTGTAAATAGTAAACATTTCAATTAGAATCGGTTCCTTGCAAAGAAGGCTAGAATGACAACTGTATCAAAACCGAATACTTCATCATTTTTTTTCAATAGTGATGTAGTAATACGGCACACACTAAACTAAGGTCACGGGATATACCACAATAGATCAAATAACTGGTCGCAGTGGATATATGACCAGCGCAGATCAAAATTAATAGTAATTTTACACCTTTTCTAATTAAATCTTATGCAAATTCAGATTTTTGCAAAAATCAAAATGGCCTAATATAAAGTTGCTAATTCATCAAATGAGAAACAGGCACAATTTATTCTTTGGGATATTTTCATTCTATGAGGCCACCCCATTCGTTGCGACCAGGCCACACTACTGAGGCTGAAGACTTGCTAAATCATACACTTTAAACTTTTACATTTAATTCAACCAGCTCAGTTTAAAAAAATAGAGAATCATGGTTCTTCTGCAGAAATGCAAAACCGTTGTTACAGCAGACCATTTATGGCTTCCACTAACGATAACTTCCTACTCGCACCAACATCATTCCCAATGGAAATCGAATCTTCACAGGAATCCAATCAAACATAACGTCATAAAACACGTGTACAATTCTGTTGGATTGGGATTTAACAAATCTCACACTTCTCCACTGGCGAGAATAGGGAACCATATAGAACCAGATTGAGGAAAGGTCAACATCTGTGCCGCCCTCTACTTTGGTAGATAGCGTTCAACTTATCGGTGTCGGTCGATGCCATCATCTTTTCTCAGCTCGGTTATTGAAGTCATACTCGCCTATAATGGCATCCAATGGGATTTGAAGTATGATATTGAACATAAAACATGACTCTGCTTTTCCAAGGATATTCTCTGGTGAATAGGGTAAGGAGCTGCAATTTCAGTCTACGCTTCTGAGTTTGCCCTATATACAAAGCCAAGTTTTCAAGAATACGAAAAGGCAGGCGAAAATTGCCTTTAATAAATAGTATCATAGACGGAACGTAAATTCTGTGACTCTTTGTTCTGTACTTGTAGCTCTTAATGTATTTGTGCGTGTCTTTACAAATCACAATATCCAAGAACATACCTGCAAGATATTTATGCAAACGCAATCGAAAAACAAGTAATAATAGATAAGAGAAAATGAACCACTCTAAAAGGCACATCGTTCCAATTTCAGATACTATCCCGCCGGTTCGCCCGATCCGTGGGTGGAAGAAAGCTGAAAAACAATTTGTCAACGCACGGTCGGAAGTTACCCAGTCTCGTTTTGATGATGAAAACCATACAGTATTTTTGTCCCCCTGTCATCATCCGCTGCTACTATTTACTGTCGCTCTACAGCCTGGTAAGTACTTAGTCCTATCATTCATCAATGCAATTAAAACTCAAATTACCAGTCCCATACATTACACAAGGGTGGTTCAAATTATCCATATAGCTACACACAGGGCCATTGATGTCAAACAAATTCTTGATCATCTTTCCAAAATTTGAAATTACTTGTTTGCAATCTGATACTGAGTACAATATGAGCAAAATAATTTGAACCGCCCTAATTTACATATACTAATGGCGGCGAGAAAATGGTGGTGCGAGTAATACAGCGATGGGATTTTCATCAAGGATCACTTTGACTAAAATCTCATCAAACATGATCCACCATATACCTCCCTTTTCAGTTTGTCAATTGAGCAATTCCAGACCAAAAAGCAAAAAAAAAAAGTTGGCTTGACCTTGCCTGATTTGCATGAAATTTGGCATAATTGTTTGCTATGGGCAATCAATCCAATTTTTGCTTAAATGTTGCCATTTTGTATCATGTAATTTGTTTCAAAATGGCGCCTTTGACATTTTTCAATGTAGCATGAAAAGTCACTTCTGATCGAAATGACGTCTGAGAGAAAGTGGTTGACAAAACTCTTTTTTTCCTATAGTGTATTTGTTAGGATCGAAGATCCAAAAAGACTCGACGGAGGCGATAACCACTAAATAATTGAATAATAACATGAAAATATTAAGAGAGACATAGTTTATGAGTTTTTTTACTCTTCCATGGAGGCGATTTGAGTTTAGCTCCCACTTTCATCCGTGCTCTTTACTCCCTTGCTTCTTCCAATTGTATTTACTTCAGCAGCATCCACCGCTTGGCCTTCTCTTCGTCTTTTATCCGCCCTAATATCAACCGGTGGAAACTAACGATTTTAAATAGGCTAACTTCTTGACTAGCCTATTGGTCCCAAGCAAATCGATTAAGGTATCCCATTCTAGTCGGAATTCTAGTACTACACTATGTTAGATTCGGTATGAAAGTTTGACAGATAAAACGAGAGGTTCGTGGATTTTCCTATGTTTCGAGAGGTGCATCGATTAGCTTGGAACCGAAGAGAGTACCAGAGCTGAGCAAAGTTAAGCACGTTTCTTCGGGAGCTTCTAGTCTTAGAGATGCTAATACCATAGAGGTAACTCTAAGACTAGAAGGTCCCGAAATAACGTGCTCAACTTTTTGGCTCAGCTCTGGTACTCTCTTCGGTCCCAAGCTAATCGATTCACCCCTCTAAACATTAGAAAAACCAATAACCCCTCATTTTATCTGTCAAACTTTCATAACGAATCAAAACAAACATTGCGTAGTACTAGAATTTCGACTAGAATGGGGTACGCTAATCGTTTGCTTGGTACCAATAGGCTAGTCAAGTAGTGAGCCAATCTAAAATCGTTAGTTTCGTATTGATTGTTGCTAATACCATAGAGGTAACTCTAAGACTAGTAGGTCCCGAAGAAACGTGCTCAACTTTTTGGCTCAGCTCTGGTACTGTCTTTGGTCCCAAGCTAATCGATGAATCCCTCGAAACATAGGAAAATCCACGAACCCCTCATTTTATCTGTCAAACTTTCATAGCAAATCAAAACAAACATTGTGTAGTACTATAATTTCGACTAGAATGGGGTACGTTAATCGATTTGCTTGGGACCAATAGGCTAGTCAAGTAGTGAGCCAATTTAAAATCGATAGTTTCGTATTGATTGTTGCTAATACCTATGTTCCCCTTTCGATTGAGGAAGTGCAGCTCTTTTTTAACATCAATAAATAGACCCCGCACACCTGTATGCATATCGAGGCCCCAGGCAGCTGGAAATTTCTCGCAACTACTCGCTTTACATCATCGTATTTCCCTAGCACCAATGCATTGCAATGCAAGATCGCTATCCGGAACTTCACCAGTAATTGATATGCGTATCTCGACTGACTTCCCATCGGCATAATGAAAAGTTAATTGTTCACGATTGTTCAGCAAGCAATGAGCCATGGCATCTTCTGATTTGAACTTGATAAACATTTTTTTCCTCCGCTATGTGATATGTAGCGATCATCTGCACGAGATTCGCGTCCAGCGCTTTAACGAAATTTGTAATTTCATCCATAGATGGTATCGCCGAGCCATGTGCGAAGCTAACCCTAATCGTCAGCTTTATTTCAACGGACATCCCCTGTTGTTTATTTCCAACGGGGCAACGAATCGACAATATAGTGACTTGCACCGCACAGCTGCTTGTGTCAACAGCTAAGAGCGAACTTGATCTCAGACAGAACAACAACTTTTGGTCAAATTTTCAAACCTTTTTGTTACTACACTTTTTATGTAGTTTTTGCACAGAAAATGATAGCATCTTAGATATTGTGTCCTCAAAAAAATCGCACTTATAAAAGTTCGAAAATTTGAACGAAAGTTCTTGTTCTAATGATTATTGTCAATTTTCAAGTCTCTGAGATCTAGTTAGGTTTTAGCTATCGACAAGTATCCCAACAAACATTTAAAGCTGAATAAGAGCTTATACAGGTAAATATTTGCTTCTTCCGCTAAAAAATGGCTTATTCAGCTTTCAATAAGCTCAAATTGTTTGTTGGGATATTTTCAAGTGTCCATGAATTCAATATTTAATTTTTTTGCATTTTTCATTTTAAAATAAAACAGTAAAAATGTTTGACAGTGACATTTTGAGGTACCTCGATATAACGTAACTGTCACTTTTGACTTCCATCGTCAATATCTCCCTAATAACAATTGAATCATACATATTAAGATTACCAATAGATGAGGTATTATCTCAGCTGTCCGATGGTGTTGTTACTTTGCTTTTTTGAATGATCGACGTGACAGTTACGGTGTATCGAGGTATACCTGTATTTTACTTAGAAAATCAAAACAAATTTATTTATGTCGTCAATCAATCGTAGACCAATTACAATGAATGCTTATTAACAATGTCTTAAATATTATTGCCTGGCTTACCTTGAAAAGAATGCTTTTTTTAGTGTTATTTTATTCATTGTTACATCAATTGATTGGGAATATGCATTATAGCAGGTAATAATTCTATTCAAAGGCCCATTTTTAGCATAGTTTGTTCTTTGATTGTTAATGTAAAACAAATTCCTAATCCTCAGAGAGCGAGTGGGAGCATAAAAATTTATATTTTCTAAAATTTCCGGAACATTAACTCTTTGAGCAATAACATCGTTTATAAATGTTACCATGGCAAAGTCTCTTCGTTTTTTCAGTCCATCTAAACTTATTAACAAACATCGCGATTCATAAGATGGAAGTGGTAATCTCGTCCAACCTAATTTTCGAAGGGCAAACAACAAAAACTGTTTTTGAACAGACTCAATGCGGTTTATATATGTATCCTGATACGGAGCCCACACTACGCTACAGTATTCAAGAAGAGGTCTCACATAGGCCACATACAATGTTTTAATAGTGTAAGGATCATTGAAGTGCAGACTAAATCTTTTGATAAACCCTAGCATGTTACTTGCTTTATATATAATGTTATTGTAGTGATCAACAAATGACAACTTAGAGTCGAGAATAATGTCTAAGTCCCTTACTTGATTACACCTTTCAACTGTTTTCTCACCAAGGGAAATTGTGTCATTTACTATAGCATGCTTTCTTGTAAACGATATAGAATTACATTTACTAACGTTAATCTCTAACAAATTCTTCTTACACCAAGTGTAAAAAATGTCAACTTCTTGCTGAAATAGCTGCATATCAGATGCTTTAGATATTTCCATGAAAAGTTTCATGTCGTCTGCATATATTGAAACATGAAGCAGCTTCAAATCTTACTCTTTGCGTTCTCCTTGACAAGTATGACTCGATCCATTGCAGTAGCCTGGTATTAAAACCTAACTTGGACAACTTGAAAATCAACAGTGGTATATCCACTCTATCGAATGCTTTACTAAAATCAGTATATAATGTTTCTACGTAATTTCCCTTATCCATTACATTTAAAGCATATGTTACAAAATGTATCAAATTAGTGGCTGTAGATCGACCTTTAACAAATCCATGTTGTTTACTAGTAATGAGAGATTTAACTTGGGAAAATATGTTGGCATTAATGATGGACTCGAAAAGTTTAGGAATAGTAGATAATATAGCAATCCCGCGATAGTTTGTGATATCCGATTTTTTCCCGTTTTTAAAAATAGGGATTAAGAAAGATTCCTTCCAAATTGGAGGCAGCATACTGGCGTTTAACGATGAATTAAACAACCAAAATAAAGGCTTTACTAATTCATTTGAAAGTGTTTTTAGAAGAATAGGTGGTAAACCATCTGGACCAGCGCCTTTTGACGTATCCAAGGACTCAAGAGCATGCAAGATTTCTTTGAGGGATAAATTGTTAACTGTAATATCCGTCATTGGCTCCGGAAGGTATGAAAAATATTCATAATCGCAATCATTCTCGTCATGAGTTGTGTAAATGTTCTGAAAAAAGTCCGCAAATAAATTACTGATCTCACCAGATGTGTTCCCGGTTCTGTTATCTAACTGTATTTTAGAAGGAAAGTTCTTCGATTTTTGTATCTCTTTAACATAGTTAAAAAATGATTTTGGATCTGTTTTAATATTATTTTCTACCTTGGTATTATGTTCTTCATATGCATTTTTCATTTCTTCATTCAGTTGATCGCAGACTTCTAGATAAAATGTAAGATTTTCTTCACTATGATTTCTTTTATAAATCTTATGTGCTTTCTGTTTCCTATTTTTAAGATTGATAACCTTTTTATTGTACCAAACTGGTGTCTTGGACTTTGTGGGTTTCCTCTGCTTCAAGGGTACCGTCTGTTGCAGAATTTTATAAATAATTTGATAAAATGTGTCCACTGCCTGTTCTATGTCAAGATTACGTATTGTAGTTTGCCAGTCAATACAGGCTAATTTTTCTTTGAGAAGTACATAGTTTGCTTTATGAAAGTCGAAGTATGTTTCAGATAAATTGCTATCCAACGTTACCGTTTTTTCATGTATGAATATGGAGTAT